ATGCGTATGCAAAATGTGTGTGGGAAGCTAGAAGTGCTGTGAACAATCCCATCCGCGTTACAAATTTTTTCACAGTTCTGTAGATCTTATGTATATTTATAAACTCTCTATGTCTGCTTTTTCTGTTGTTGCACCCAAAAACACAACAATTTAAAAACCTTGATTCCAATCTCTAGTTGCTCAGTGAATTCTGTAACTCAAAATTACAAACTGGACAGTAAATGTTCCACTTTTCACTCGTTTGTAAAAGCCACTCTTGCTTTAAAAGCTATAGGGTTACTTCCGAAAACGATAAATCGTGCCCTCAAGACGCCATTGTTTTCGGTCTTCAATTCCTCACAGGTCACGTGGTACAGTTCCCGTTCTATAAGTGTAGAATTCTGTGGTACTGTTTGAAGATGGGCAAAGGAGTTCACTGAAACCAGTCCAGCAGAGACAGATTTGCATGACCAAACTCGTTGCGGGCGTCCCAACTCTGCCAGTGATGTTCAACAGCAGGAGAGAGTGGATGAGATTATCCAAGCAAACCGGCAGATCAAAGTAAGAGATGTCAGTGAAATGCTAGGGATTTCTGTTGGTAGTGCTCTGTATATCATCCATGATGTGTAGGGTTACAGGAAAGTTACAGGGTTCCCCACATGTTGTCACCAGAGCTGAAATTGAACCGAAGTCAAGCTAGTGATGAACTCCTCGCTCGTTGTACCGATGAAGGTGAAGCTTTCTTACGCCGTATAGTCACAGGACGAGACTTGGGTACACCATTATAACCAAGAGAACAAAAGACAATCGAAAGAATGCAGGCACACTGGCTCACCTAGCCCCAAGAAGTTCAAAGTTGTTTCATCTGCAAATTAAGTGCTTATGACAGTGTGTTGGGACTATAGTGGTGTGATTCATATGGAATTTTTGGAACAGGGTTCCACTATCAACTCCGAACGATATATTGAGACCCTGAGAAAACTGAGCACGACTGTCATGAGTTTGACCCGAAAAAAATGCAATTTTGCACCACGACAACGCCCGTCCACACACGAGTCGACAAACTCAAGATGCCATGAAAAGTCTCAGATTTCAAGGGACCTTACCGCATCCATCATACAGTCCAGACCTTGCTCCATCTGACTTTTATCTTTTTCCTAAGTTGAAGGACATCACAACTGAAAGAGCTGCGGAGCTGGCCTACCATAGAAAACTGCATATCCCCTCGACGCTTAACGGCAACAGAAGATGAAAAAGTAAAAGTAAAAGTAAGGAGTACCTCAAAGGAAAACGATATGCAGATGACGATGAAGTTCAAGAAGAAGTGCGTCGCTGGTTCAGGGGAAAACCACATGAATTTTTCGCCGACGGCATGCAACAACTTATTCGACGTTGGCGGATCTGCATCGACAAAGAAGGCAACTATGTTGAAAAGTAAAGGTACTGTCATGTAGCAGACATCCTAAGCTTTCATTTGGTGTATAACTTTTGTATGTAGCATCAGTAATAAAGAAATTATGAAGAACTTGGAGGCAAAACTTTTTGAACGACCCGTGTATATTTCTAATGTCGTCTTCAATGAAATGATCTCTGATTTTTTTTGGGTGTGTTTTTTGTTGTTGTTTTATTTGTTGTTTTTTTGTTTTTGTTTTTTGGGGGTGGTTAAAGCAGTCAATGCATTTTTAAGACTTTGGTGGACAAACGTCAAGGCAGTCTGCCGTTTTGGATATAATGCTGCTAAGGTACTTGAATTTACTCATTAATGCAAGCAGTTCTCCATAAAGAGTGATGGGCGTAGTTTCTGATGGTAGTCGTAGTTTTAGATACATTAATTGTAAGGTCAACTTTATCCGCAGATCTTGCCTAGGGGGCTCTCGTGGCCTAGAGGTTAAGGTGTTGGCCTCTCATTCAAAAGTCCCGGGTTCGAATCCGGGTAGCGACCGAAAAGTTTTCTTCTCTAAAATTGTCTCCTTTCACCTCCTTTCCTGCTCTCTAGCAATGTTCTGTTGTCTGCTTTCATTTCCACTTTCTGCCCCCAC